TTCATCCTAATTAGTATTCTTTTGTAGTCGTATTTTAAGCTATTCAAAACATGTTTTAAATAGTACTTATTATGATTCTAAGTTTATCATGGCAAAACAACCTTAAAGATACATGGAAACTAATTAATGAAGTGATTAATAAGTGAAAAAGTAGATTATCAATGTCTCAATCTTTCAATAATAATGGTAGACCAATAACAGATCCAACAGACATAGCCAATGAATTTTGCAATTATTTCACAAATATCGGACCTAATTCGATCAGCTTTTTAACTGATCATGTGAGGAAATCAATCTTTTTAAAACCTACCAAAATAGCCGAATTGACAGGAATTTGACAATCATATAAGTCAGGGAAAGCTTCAGGATGTGATGACATTTCTATGCAAGTAATGAAGAACACTTTTGAAATTATACCTCAACCCCTTGTACAAATTATTAATCTTTCTCTTTTAAATGGATACTTCCCAATCAAATTAAAAATTGCTAAAATAATTCCTGTATATAAAGCTGATAGTCCAGAGTGTTTTACCAATTATAGACCTATTTGACTACTTCCATATTTCTCAAATTTTTTTGAAAAGGTTATGCATAACTGCATCGCCAATTTTATAGAATCTTTTGATATTTTATACTCTCAACAATTTGGATTTTGGAAAAAACATTTTACTGTCTTATCACTTACCTACCTTTGATTATTGTTTGCAGTTTGCACTCAATCTGAGCCAGTAATAACTCGTTTGAGTTATTTGTAATGTAATTAGTAATGCTGTTCATGCTGAAATAAAATGTTTTTGTGTTTTCCTGAAGCTGTTTTGCTTTTTGTTTGGAGTTTATTATATGAATTTGCGGAATTTCCATACGTTTCACCGCGCAGAAAGCAGGAAATTAAGTTTGAGTGACGCTAAATTGCCCAAATGTTTTGTATGAATATGAATAGATAAATGTCTGAAAAGGCTGTTTCCGACGATCTAGAGGCCCTAATTTTAAATTTTTTTCTCGCTTGGTGCCAACCATTGTGGTATCTGTGGCATAGCCCTGCAATGTATTAAGAGTTATTTCTCTGATCGCAAACAATTCGTCCAATTTAATGAAACCAGTTTCCTCTAAACAGACTACATGTTGTGGTGTCAGGGCTCAATATTAGGCCCATTAGTGTTTTTATTATACATTAATGATTTACCCAACGCTGCGAGAATGGCCAAGACATTGCTTTTTGCAGATGACACTAGCATTTTTTATTCTCACTTGGATCCAAAACATTTAGTTTCTGCATTAAATACGGAATTAATTGAAATTGATAACTGGATGAAATCCAATAAACTTTCAGTTAACGTAAAGAAAACAAGTTATATTATTTTTAAATCAAGGCAAAAGAAAATCAGTGTCAATTTACCAGCTATTGTTTTTGACAATCAACTTCTGAAACAAGAACAAGTTATTAAATTCTTGGGCATTTACATAGATGAAAATCTGACATGGATACTGCATATAAACTATGTGTATAAAAAATATCGAAATCTGTTGGAATAATTTATAGGTCTCGCTTTGAATTATCTACTAATGCAAAATTGTCTCTTTATTACACTTTGATTTATCCTTACCTTACATACTTTTACTGTAATATAGTTAGGTCATCAACTCATGTCTTCAGTTTAAACAGAATCCTCCTTCACAAACGAGCGGTAAGAGCTATAACGAATTCAGATTATCGAGCCCACTTTATACACCGCCAAATTTATGTTTATGTATTACCATAATTTAATACCACCGTTTTTTCTTAAAGGACATTGGCAACCAAAATGTTTATTGCTTCATCTGAAAGAGCATGAAAAAATAAGCTGGATGGCCATTTAATGCTCTACCCTATCTCATCTAGTTCCAAAGTTATACGCAAAAATGTGCAAAATATAAATTGCTGATTCAGCACAATGTGTGACGTCATTAGTTGGGTAAGCATGTTTACTGAATAGTAAACTGAAGCATAGCTCAGTTATTATGGGCCCAAATCAAATGAAATTTTGCATACTGATTGTACATGATGAGAGGTAACAATGTTGTTCCCAGGCCCCTTGCGCCAATTTTATAAAACAGCTTTATTCATGGTACTGATAAGGTTAAAATAATATCAGAGGTATGTGTACCATACCTATGCATGCCAATAAGTACTGCTCCCAATAAAAAATGACATAATTGTAATTTTTGAGATATTGACTAACGTTAAGAGATTGTTGTTTGTATAAAACTTGCATAGTGATGTGGATTTGTAAATCCAATGAATCCAATGATAAATTGAATCAAGGAAGTTTTTATATGGAATTGAAGATGTTCTTTTTTGACAAGAAATGCACCAATTATTTTATAATTTGCAAAGCAGATGTTATAATCTGCATACTTTTATGAAGAATAAGCTGTAAGATCATTTTAAAAGTTTAATGAAACCAGTGCATTGCTTAAAATAGCAGTTTGGCCTCACAAATCCACATATTAAATGTACATGTGTATATAAAAACATAACAATTTATTGAGCAACATCTTTCAAAATAACGACCAGATCATTTTTATGGAGGGCCATTTATTTTTTACCACCCTCTTTACATTTAAAGAAGCTTCGAGAGAAATGCCTATTTTAACCACTGTACAGGTAAATTCTCTGATAATATTTTATCGTAGTCCTGCGACGAAAGACATGGCCCGATTGTTTCATCTAGTTTGATTGCACTAGGTGGCACCTGAAGGTTACTGTTAGCAGGAATGTTCTGCAAGCAGGACGATTGCAAGCAAAAGTGGTAGTTGCGGTCAACAGTAAACTTTTTCCCTCTTTGGTTTCATGGGGAGGAATCCAATGTGCCGAAACTTGAATGGAGAGATCTCCCTTTTCAAATTCCCTCTGACAATTTCGACTTGAACACGTAGGCGTTCGACCCCTTGAAACCCTGTTGTGTCATGGGAAGGTCACGATTTTGTGAGGGCCTGCGGAATCTTGTAAAATGAATAAATGTTGTTTTGAACCTGCTTCGTCAAAGAAGGCAGTTTTATTCGTGCAATGTTGGTGTGGACAACAAACCTTATCATTAAAAAATGCTTCCTTCCACGTCCTAAGAGTCGCCAGTTTAATTTACAAGTTTCATGCTGCTTTTTTATATCCTGTTTATATTCAAGATTATGTAGAAATTTACTTGCTGCCGTGACGCTGGTGCCATTTTTTACAAGATTTCGCAGGCCCTCGCCAGATCGTGACCTTCCCATGACGCAACGAGGGCCTGCGGAGGAGGCAGGCTGTGACTTTCAAAAAAAAACTGGGGAGAGTTCAATTTCCTTGTAACTTTGTTTTTTTTAGCAAAAAATATGCTGAAAAATTAGGTTTTTCGTCCAAAGATTTCAATTTCAAAGATTTAAACTTGGTTTTCTGGATAGTTTTAAGTATTCTGCATCAACTAGCTGCAAAAACTTTTGAGGTATCAGCTTTACATTTGAAATATTTAACAAATTTGAATGTGCCAAAGGAAACTTCACTCTTCAACTCACAAAAATATAAGGTTTAATTCCTCTATGTTTATGAAACTTGTTTTGGAGTAAAGTTCAAGTATTGGTGTTTGTTTTAACTCTGTATCGTTTGGCAGTAAATTTCATATTTTTTCATTCAATTGCTTCTGATGTAAATATCTCAATGAGTATTTAACCACCTTTAAAACAGAAATGAAATCACTGTTGAAATTCTCATAAAGTAACCTTTCAAACAGGGGTTCAAAATGCTGGCATAACATTACACAAACCAAAACAATTGTGTATTTTACTCACCGCTTGGCCAAACATTCTGTATTTCATATCGAGAAAATCTCCAATATCTCTTGAACTCCTTGGAATTCCCCACAAGTTAATCGAGTGAAGTACTCCTTGTATTCAAGTGCTTTCGTGTGGAAAATTTCATTTGAAACCGGCCAGTAGAAATATATTTATTTTGAATTTTTCAAAATATCGGGTTTTTACTCACATGCGCCCACCACACGCTAAAATTGGCCAATAAGGAGCACCTGTAGCCCAATTTGACCTTTTAGAATCAATTTCCGACATTTCAAATTGGCAAATCTAAAGTGTATTACCAGTTGAAGCTCTCACATAAAATTTAGATATTTTGAAATACCGAAATAAAAGATGCAAACCTGTGGATACAAGCTTGAAAGAGGGTCTAGATGGGGTGGTCTGAAATCAGTAAACGGTAAAATTGTTGGTATTTTCACGGTAAACAGTAAATTATTTGGCAATTTATCAGTAAACAGTAAAACACTTTGTAAATCAGTAAAATTGTACACAAGGTCTTTAAACACACCTTCTTTAACAGCATAAGGTCCTACAAATCCAGTCTAACAGTTGCTCTCACAATGCGACCTAATCGTGTTGATCTGGAGATCTGATTCTGATTAATACTTTGCGCCACTATAATAATAATAATAATAATGGTTTATTCACAGTATATCCATTACAAACAGAATGGCTCTTCACCTGTAAAATTATCTACATTATACTAAATATACAGTAATCTATTATCATACAAGAACTACAAAAGTTAAAAAAGACAAATAATCCAATTACAATGCAAATCAGAATCATTCACTGTTTTTAAAATGTTTTTTTATACAATGACAGAAAGTTCTATAATTGTTAATATTCCTGATTTCTGCTGGAAGCTTATTAAAAATGGAGGCTGCTGGGTCTTGAAATGTTCCTGACTCCTTGGGAATATCCAGGACAGAAGATGATCTTAGACTATATGCATTAACGCAATGTAGCGATAATCTTAAATATTCTGGAAAAGAATCGTCATGTAAAGCTTTATATGCTAATTTTAAAATATTAAAATCCATCCTTTTACTAATGTTTAGCCAGTTCAAGGTGGCAAGGTCTTCCTGTCTTGCAAATCTCCTCAACACAAAACCCGCGCATGCATTTTTGAGGCGTTGAAGTCGTTTTTGTTGGTATATTGGCAATGGGTGGAATACAGGACTAGCATAGTCAATTTCTTCAGCTTTTTCAACACTGCTAGTATTCCATAACAAGAAGTTAGCAAATAGTCAATATGTGAAGACCATGAAAGACGCTCGTTCAAATAAATTCCTAAAAGATTTTTACATTTTATTCGTTCAAGGAATTTGTCCCCACATTTAATACTAAACGTACGGTCACCCAGATCATGAGTACGTGCCATCCGAGGTGTGGAAACTAGCATCCAGTCAGTTTTGGAGGAATTCAGTGCCAAATTAGAGCATTGAGAATAATCGACCAATCGCACTATAGCATCATTAACTTCTTTTACAGCCGAGTCTAGATCACATACTTTTGAATGGGTATAAAACGATGTATCATCCGCATATTGATAGCAAGGTAGTTGAAGCTTTTCCTGTAAATCAGCGACGTATAGATTGAAAATCGCCGGTCCAAGAACTGAGCCTTGTGGTACGCCAAATTCTACGGTAAGAAGACTAGATTTACTATCGTTGATTTGTACCAACTGTTGTCTATTTGTAAGATAGTTAATCATCCAGTGCAGAAATGATTTTGAAAAACCCAATCCATGCATTTTAGTCAGAACAGACCTGAACTGTACAGTATCAAAAGCTTTGCTATAGTCTGCATAAACCATTAGAGTTACCTCTCCTTTCTTTGATGCTCGAATCAATGCGTCTCGAATACCCAGCAACACAGTTGTTGTCGAATGCCCTTTTCGAAATCCAGATATCGTAGCTCCAAGAAGCGCCCTTTCTTCAATATACGCAATCATCTGATTTAAAACAAGCCGCTCAAATACCTTTGATAACGCCGGCAAAATTGAGACAGGTCTATAGTCCGCCTCACACAAAGGTTGATCTATTTTAGGGATGCATGGGCGATATTCTTGCAATTTTCCACGCTTCTGGAAAGGCCGACCTAGCAATACAATTGTTTATTATGTATTGTAAAGGACCCGCCAGATGTTCTCTCGCCAGTTTTAGTAAGTAAATACACGACCCCACAGTAAATACACGACCCCACAAGCTTGTAGTTTTAAACATTATCGTGTCAAAACAAAGGTTTTCTATCTAGTATCTGAAATGCCATTTCACGAACAACAAAAATTGTTGGAGAGTCGACTTGCTTCGCACGCTTCGGTGAATAAACCATGACATTGTAAAAAAATTACTACGAATAAAATACAAACAAATCTCTGTTGCGTTCTTAATTATCACGTTTTTAAAGATGCCAATTCATTTATCATTATAAATACTGCATGAAGTATAACGGCTTGTACTGAGCAAAAGAAGTAAACTGTCTAGTTGTCGTTAAGTTGGGTGTTCAATTGTTAAAGGTTTTTCTCATTAAAATATATGTAATATGATATTATAGTCACGGTTATTTTAGTATGACCAAAATCCGCGCTGGTCAAAATAGATGAACATACACGCGAAAGCATATTCTTTGCTCATAAAAAAAAACGCCAGCATCTATCTCGATAAAAAAGAAAACACCGGCGTCTATCTCAATCAATCTTTTGGGAATACCATGAACGTCGACAATTTTTCTAAATTGATAAATGCAAACTCGATGTCTACTGCATCTGCCTATCAGTCGTACAATACAAGATTCGTCGCACACCAAAACTTTAGTAGGCCAAAATCACGCACAAATTGCGGCAAACATGCATATACGTTTTATATATAAATAATATAAATATGCAAATATATTTTTCAAGCTTGCCCGGTGCGGATATACACTCAGAGTAACATCACAAGCATCTTATTCACCTGAGTACATGCACCAACACAGAAAATATCATTATTACTAGATTACATTGATATCGAAGGAACTAGATTCTGATCACATACTCGAACCGACCAGACCACGTAGCTCAGTTGGCAGAGCATTGGGCTAGCATTCCAAAGGTCGTAGGTTCGATTCCCACCGTGGTCAGGCATATTTTTCAAGCTTGCCCGGTGCGGATATACACTCAGAGTAACATCACAAGCATCTTATTCACTAGCCTGCATGGCAGGCGGTATTTCTACGGGCAGCGAAAATTAGGGAAGCAAAGGAAATACCGTCTGCCGCAAAACTAGGGGTTTTTGAATTACCCGTCCGCTGGTGAACGGGAAAAACGGATTGGTTAGTATTTTTATGTAGTTGTCAATCAACGGCTAAATTCGGTTAAATGTTAATCATTAACCAAATGTTTTGACGTTTTGAAACTCTGCGTTTTGAAATTAGTTCACGTCAAGTTAGACCAGAAATGGAATAACATAATAAAAGAAGCAAATTAAAAGATACAAGCTGAAAAATAACACTCTAAATAGTGTTATTGATAGAGATTCGAACAAGAATATTTAACCACAGTTAATAGAATGAGATGGTTTGGAGAGCCGGCAAACTTCAAAGGGGGGCGGCAAATATGTTGCGCATCAAAGGACAAAAAAATCACGTGACTGATAGTGTGCATCGCCTCAGGACAAATAGTATAGAATTACATAGGTTTCCAGCTGTCTCAACAGATTGCGATATATTTTTTTGCCTGAAACTTGTGTCATGGATGCGGAAGAGAAATTGCAGGAAGAACAAGAAATGAGGGAGGTTTTGGAGCAAGATTCAGATGAAGAACCGGAAGAAACACGCGATTTTGTGCCAGTGTTTTCAACGAGGAGTGAACAAGAGGATATTATGCCCGACGCACATGTATTCTACAACATAGATATTGCTCTTGAACTCATAGAAACTGACGATCAAGGAGTAGAAAATGAATTTGCAGAAGCTGTGACTGAAATTGAAGGCTTGAAATCGTTTCCCTGTTCAAAATGCAGCAAAATATGCAAGTCGAAAGGCGGATTGACCAGGCACACTAATTCGAAACATGGCGATAGTGTTTCAATTCCTTCGACTACAACACCGCTTTGTTATGAGACCATAACTTCGATTGTGGATACGATAAAAGAAAACATTGTTAAAGAGAAGCTGTACGGGGAAAATATAAATGCTGCGGTGGAAAAGGCTATAGCGACTAAAGAATTGTTCGACGAAGTGTTGCCTTTATACACAAAATTTTCTCGAAGCCGAAATCAAGATAAACTTCTCCAGTCGTTTTATGGGTTAATGCCAAAGTCCGCGGAATTACTAAACTGTACGGATTCGCGAGTTGCAAACCTTGTCATGATCCACATCCCCGATCATTTGGTTGGATTTTTAAACGTGCAAAATGTTTCCCAAGAAAGAGACACAGAATCTGCACCTGACTGCAAAATTGAGCCAAGCGAACATGGTCCTCTCTCCTATATTTCAGGGTATGTAATTTCAAAGTTAAGTAGAGCATCAAAGTCTAAAGAGGAAAACAATGAACTTCAAACCTTGTTACAGAATTTAAAATCAGAACAAGAAAACAACAGTTACATTTTAGCCCGAACAAGAGGTGGTCTTGTAACACCTTGTGAGGATATTGTAAGAATTTTACATGAAGCAGAGATTTGTTTCAGAAAGGAAGTTGACAAGTCAAAGCTGGCTATTCGAAACATTCCTGTCGATGCAATCTGCTATTCCACCCTTTCCTTACCAATTGTCAAGTCATTATGGCAAAATATTGTTATGTCATCTGGTGTCAATCCATCTGGTGATACCCAGAAGTTATGCCTTGAAAACATTGTCAAACTGTATTTGAAGGTGAGATCATTCTCATATGCCAGAGACTATATCTCCCGACATAGAATAAAAGAGAAGCAAAACAAAAAGAAAGGGCTGAGAAAGGATTTGAAACAAAGTTCGGACAAGTCATAAACATGTAGACAGAACAATATAAATATGCTATGTCAATATCCTTTTTTCATGTTTATATACTTTAAATATATTATCTATATTATATTTTTTGGATTCTGGTCTTATTTTAACCATCAAGACTTAGCCTGTTAGCCAGGTCCCTAGGTCCTTTCACTTTATTCAAATTTGATTGCTATAATAACAATATACAGCTAATTCAAAAACTTAAACCCTGACCGTGCGAGGGATGATGGGTTATTGCTTATTTAGACTCAAACTATGAAATTTGGCTTTGCGAGACTACCTAAGACATATAGAAGACTCACGACAGAAAACATACTTGCCGCAAAGACAATTTTCCGAGTTTAAGGGTCTAATAAGTGAAAACCCATCATCCCTTGCGCGCTCAGAGTTTAAAGGTTTTAGAAGGACAACCTTAATTGAATCAGCTGTATTAACAATCAGCATGCATGAATACAAAATGTTGTTTAATTTGCTCATGTGAATGATCCCCCTGTCGTCGGCCAGCGTTGTTTATTATATAACAG